AGTCTAAAGAATTATTTACGAATAATTAACTATAAGTAATATTTCCAAAGAGGAACGGCCTCCATATCCGTAGGCCCTTCTGAAGACCCTATATTCCAGATGGAGTGCAGGAAATCAATATTAGTAGTAAAATTTTCAATAAGAGCACTGATTATGGACATTTAGTAAAAACCCATCATCAAATATATTTGTATATAAAAAAATTCTTTAAAATATCTGTCATTTTGAAAAACAGTTTCGTTAAAAGCTAGAAAGTTATTTTTGTGTGTACACCCAGAAAATGTCATCATCAGCTGTGCAATAAAAAATCTAATCTATGAGAAACGAAAGTGCTTAGGACGTTTTATAAAATGTTTGCTTCAGCATTAAAGTTCCTGGAATCCCAAAAAATAAAGCAAAAAATAGTTTTTTTACATGTGTAGTATATAAGATATACATATAGTAAATAAAACTATAATTATATAAAATATTTTATGGTGTAACAAAAAGTGCTATAGCAACTGAATTGCATGTCACAGTACCCAATAAATACTTTTATAGCATTTCCTGCTACTTTTAAAGTAAAAGTTGTTTCGGTAAAAGGAAAAAAAATCCATTTTAGGTTGTTTTATTTACTTTTCGCTTTTGCTGGAAGTGAAGCGACACAAGGCACCAGGCGGTACATGCATGAGTCATACTCCAAATTTTTATTACATTTTTCAATTCTTTTTTTTTTTTTTTGAAAAGTTCATACTCCGTTTTTTCCTCTTATTTTAGTTGCATACAAAATTTACACTTTTCGCTTTTCCGTAGTGCCGTTGGTATCCCCGGAGATCGCAAACAGAAGCTGTTCGCAGAAGCCACATGGCACATGGAAATGTCTACACATCCATGCGAATGTCAGAGATTATGCCAACATGCCTTGATATTTGATTGATGATATTTGCTATTTTTGGTTTGTAAAGATGTGCAAAACCGCAGATATATTTTTGCCTAAACTTTGCCATTGCGGTACTCTTCCGTATAATTAATGAAATCGAATATGTTTTCGTTACAACAGAAATGTATGCATAAAATTTGCTATCTTCAATATCAAAATTTTGTTCAATTGTGAGTGGCGAAAATCCCTTCAAATTTAATTCAAGTTGAATGCCAACCGTTAGGAAAATATCATATAAATTGAGTTTTTCGCTTCGTTAACATTTTGAAATAAATAAAAAAAATAAAGCTAAAGTCATAAATAAAATGAAAAATAAAATATAATTTTTCTTTCTCCTCTCAGTCTTTTGTTCACGACAAAGTGTCGTCGTTGTCAGTTTTATTTCCATTCTGAATATTGCCACTCCCTGAACACGTCTACAATTTGCTTTTCATAGAAAATTTATTCCAAAGTTTATGGTCTGCAGCTGATTTTACTAATTTGTACAAAATAAAACTGCACTTTTCATTAAGAAAAACAAAGGATAGCACAACAGAAATTACTTCAGTATGATGTACTGATATGGAAATGGAAAGATACATTCTGTAGTTGAACTCTAGTGTATAGTTCTTTAAATACGAAAACATTAGCCTGTCTTTCTTATGTGACCAAATATAATATTGAACTACCATAAATACTATATGCAATATTTTATTTAAAAAATTGGTTTTGTTCAAATTACATTATATGTAATTTTATTTAATCTTATATATGATACAAATGTTATGATACTCGTATATGATATAAGCTATTTTGTAGTAGTTATATAATATCACGTACGTTGTAAAATATAATATATATGATATCATTCATATGATATGTATGATGTGATATGATGAGATATGATATGATATATGATATGATATATGATATGATATATGATATGATATATGATATAAGATATGATATGATATATGATTTGATATATGATATGATATATGTATACATGAAGTTGAACTAAATACAATGTATGACATTTTATTTTTGAAATAAAGAATTGTTTATGTTTAAATTATATTCCATTGTGTTAGTCTACTATTGTCTTGAGATACTTTATCTGTAAAATAAATAATAATTAAATGCATAATAATAGAACAAACAACAATTAAGCAAGTACCTTTGTCATGTCCTTTTACAACCTGTACGCGGAAATATCCACATCTTCTATATCTTCAATTTCAGGTCAAAAAGAAAAAATTCACTAAACATATGTTCGCAACAATTAGAATTAATGGATTTTGATTTATGTCACTCTTACATCTTTTCCAGAAAAGTACAACCCCAGAACAAATGCTACAATATATAAAAACTTTTTGAAAATGTACTAGTCTTTCGGCAGTTGCTTGTGGATTTCATTACCCCAGTTGTTACAAATATTGTTTGTTTGATAACATAACATCCATTGAGAAAAATGAACTTCATCACTAAATCAAAAAAATATAATAGGTGTATTCGGCGCGCCCCGAAGCGGTGAAAAATCTCTTAGTAAAGTTTTTTGCTAAAGTTCCTTCCTAAAGTCTCTTAATAAAATCTCGTGCTAAAGTCTCTTACCAAAATCTCTTGAAAAGTCTTGCTAGCAGTTTACAACTTAAAAATGAAAAATTTTTGAAATTTTTAATACATTTATTCTCTATAATATTTGTGTATTTTTAAAATATTTCTACTTCACAATTTTTAAATTTGTGAAATTTTTTAATCCTGTTTGACTTTTTCTTTACAAGACTTTGACATATTAGTGGAATACTCATTCGCAATTATCGCTTATCGCTTTGGTATTTTTCTGCAGTCTCTTAGATGATTAGATACTTTGCAACAAGTCTGTTAGAGCAAGCGAGTAGTGTTGTTGTTTTGCGTATAATTTAGAGACTTTAGCAAAAGATTTGTTTTTGCTGCACTGTGGAACGAACGAATACACCTAATATTGTTTGTTGATATATCCATTAAACTAAAAATGTTAAATACTATCACTAACACACCACTAAAAAAATTTCGATTTGGAAAATAGTTACCATTTTTGCATTGCTTCTACAATTTAAGGATGTTAAATGATAACATCATCAGGGCTACACCAGGGCTGTCCAGACCAGATGGAATCGCGAGCCAATACAAATTATTGTACAGATTGAGGGCCACATAAACAAATATATACGTTTATAGTTGTTATTATAAATACATTATAACATTATAAATACGGTTATAATGTTAAATTTACTTTTATTAATTTATTAGCTTAAATTCATTAATTTGGTATATCATAAAAATAAAATAATACACCAAATAAAAAAAGTACACCAAAAGAAAATTTGGGTAATTGTAGTAGATTAGAAATAAGTCGCGAAATATGTGGTTCGCATGGCGTACTTTGGGCAGCCCTAGTCTACATTATGAATTGGTAAATCTTGGTCTAAATATTTAAAGTTTTGAATGATACTTCACTTGGACATATGTCACTGAAATAGTGCTGTCCAATCATGTTTAGAAAATGAACAACCTTGTATTATTTAAAATGATATCTGACTATTATATAAATATTAGCTTGACGTTATGCTGATATGTTGTAGACATAATTAAGTTGTGTACACTTATAAATGTATGATATATTAATTACAGTTATTTAAAATCTAATCTGACTATATTTTTTTTTAATAAGTTTATTTATAATAAATGTATTTTCTTTCTTTCTTTACAGATTTTACGATTAAAATAAAAAACAAAAACTATTTGAACTTTTAGTAGAAATAATTAACAATTAAGATTATAACTAAATGTGCAAAAATTAAAAAAAATTAAATTAAATTAAAAGATATATAAAATCTCAGCATTATATCAATATTAAATTTTAATGTTAAAGTATAAAGTATATATATATGAAAAATAGTCCAAAGTATTTTAAAGCCACGCCATACTCAACATCAAAAGATTTTTAACCAAAAAACGATAAACGCCACACAACTCACGAGAAAAAGTAAATATCGTCGCTTAAGTGAACACCATTAAAAATTAAAACAAAACAAAAACAAAAACAAAAACAACACACACAAATATGCATAAATATATAAATTTAAATTAAAATAAAAAATATATAAAGTATATGTATTTAAAATCAGATTTTTGAAAGACAAATATAAAGATTATTGCATCTGCTGTAGAAAACTCAAAAGAATAAAAAAAAAAATTGAATTCAATTAAAATTGAAAAATAAACTAAAGAAAATAATTCGCCAATTGCTATAAAATTTCCATTTTTAGTTTAAAGTAAATGGCGAGCATTGGCAGTGTTGCCAACTTAAGAAAATAAACAAAAACAAACTAAAAAACACAACACAACACAACAGTGGAGTTTGTACTAACAATAGCAATAAGAACAACAACATCAACAGCAACAACAACAAAGTGCAGTGAAGTTAGTGCATACGAAAGTCAAGCGTATGAGTGTCTTGTAGAGTTTCTTGCTTACGCCTGCCATTGAGTCTGTGCCCAGTCACTCAGTCTTCAGCGGCATTTGCAAGTGAATTGAACGAACATTGAAACGAAGCCAAATAAAATATCAAACGAAATAATTCTCAGGTACAATTCTTCGGATTGTATACCAAAGATTTGAAGGACAATTTTCATAAAATTGCAAATATAAATTGAACTAAATTAAAACACTGAGCAAGATATTGTGGTTAGGAAGAAAGAAAGAAAAGACTGATTGATTTAAAATTTCAAAGAAGTTTTAAATTTAACGGATGATATATATTAAGACAGCCGAAGGAAGTAAGGGAAAGTTGCAGAATTTTTAAAATTTTACAATTGTCCTGATAGATTTCTTCATGTTTCGAATTTGTGTTTAAGTGCGAAAGGTTCCTGTTTTGATAAACTATTTGTAATAAACTGAAAAATTAAGTTAAACTTAAAAAACAATAAACAATTCAATAAACAAGACTTAATTAGTTGCATTTGACTTAATTAATTGTTTTGCATTTGAGAAGTGAAATAAAAAGTTTTGCATAAATTTGGATTTCTTAAAAGAAATTTATAAGAAAGTGAACGTAACTGTGATGGGTGATCAAACAACTTCCGGTGCAGCTGCCAATGGTGCAGAAAGTGCCACAAACGGTTTAGTTGGCAACGCAGCTGCAGCTAACAATGGTGGTGGAAATGCGAATGCTAATGCTAATGCTAATGTTAGTGGTAATGGTAATGGCAATGGCAATGGGAATGGTAACGGTAACGGCAATGGCAATGGCGCTCCAGCATTGTCAGAACACTTAAATGGTGTTGCTGTTGCTAACGGCACTGCCGGCGATGGTACGATGAATGTTGAAAATGGCGTTGGTGGCAGCGGTGTTGTTGGTGGCGGCACTATAGACGGTACTGATGTCGAAGCAGCTGTTGATGATGCTGCAACGGATGCTGGTGCTAGTTCATTGCCACCATCAGAAGTTGGTGGGCGTCCACCATTGGATACCGCTTGCTCTGATGGTGGTGGTCCATCAAGCTTAGGTGGTGGTATGGTCGGACCACCAAGTCCTTTAACCGGTTGCTATTTGCTGATTGTTTTGGGTGAACCGCACTCGGAAGAGCACAAAGATAATATCTTGCAACATTTGTTGAAGGGTAAGTCAATAGAAAATTTTTTCAGCAATAAAAATTTACAATTACAAATTATTTTATAATAATATACTAATAATTACTAATAATAATATAAATGTTAACAATTCCGCAATATTCAAAATAACAGAATATTTTGATTTTTTATTTTTTTTTATCACAACAATTGGAACACAACATTTAACTGTTAATTGGCGGCAAATTGGTTCAATGTTGCTCCGTAAAAAGACCAACAACTGTAATTTTCAAGACCAATATAATTTCTGTTTGTTTAAGATGTGAAACTTACGCAGACACAAACGAAGTGGCCGGCCCACAGTCTAGAGATACTAGCTGTGGACTTAGTCACAGACTAAAAATAAGACAATCACAAGAGGCGCACGGACAGCACATTTTGCGGTAGGCACGCGACATTACTTACTGAAGCGTTTAATGTAGAAGCGTTGAAGCATTTCATGTTCGAATTGGTTTTTCGCTTAGAAATTGCAGTTTCATAAACTCAAATTAAAATTGAAAAGAATTGAAAGTGCATTAATTTTTTTTCCATTTGCAATTACACATAAAATTATTCAAGCATTTATATGATTTTTTATATCAGAATTTCCATTAATTTGTTTTCTAATTTAAAATTTTGCATGGTGAGTAATAATATATGGAAATGGTTTCTAATATAATTTTCTGATATTTATAATTATTAAGCTACAAAAAATTGCTTCAGTATCTTTAGTTTTCTCATTAAAATAATTAAACTTTGCATCTCTAATCAAAAAATTATGTGAAGCACTTGAAATTAATAAAGTCACGCTGAAAAGTGAATTAGAATGATGTAAATATTATTTATTAATATATGTAATCAATTTAATATTTAATTAAAATATTTTAATTAATTTATTACATGTTCATAATAACTGGTGTTACGACTCAAGGTGGATCTTAACCTCCTCCTAATCTGACTTTTAAGACTCACGATTGCATGTTCTTCTTAGCCTTCTTAAGACACAGTAGTGTTATGAGTTTACATATAAATTTATTGTCTTCCTATAATTTTACATTGAAATATAAACATTTAAAATTAAAAATTTTTTAAAGCGAATATATAATGTTTAGATTAAAAGAAAATTTTTCATTAAAATATGTTGTTCAAGAAATATTCCGAAAAAAAAATAAAAGACGAAATATTGTTATTTTTCAATAGTCTAATATTGTCCAGTTTAGCTTGGAAGATTCTCTCCAAAGATAGCATATTAGATCGCATATATAGTAAATTAACATTGTGCATTTTACTAAAAAAAAGTAAATCAAATTAAAAAAGAAAATTTAACTCTTAAATATTGTACGGGTTATCTTTGAAGATTCTCTCCACAGATAGCACAATAGATCTATCTATTCATAAAAATTTAAATAAAATTAAAGAAAAAAATTTAGCTCTAAAATATTGTACGTGTTATCTTTAAAGATTTTCTCCAAGGACAACACAGGAAATCGCAAAACTTGTGAATTATCATTCTGCGTTTTACAAATAAAAATACAAATAAAATGTATAAAAAATAAAAGAGGAAATTTTAGCTTTAAAGATTTACATAAATTCTATAAGTATCAGTTTTTTTCATTTTTTGGTACAAAATTTATTTATTTCATATCAAACCCTTACTTGACAAATAAAGGTTCCTTAAAGACAAATTTCAAAAAAAAATAAAATTCACTTGCTGAACTTTCGAAACGCCTCAGACACTTAATTATTATATTTCGAATTCATAATTTAATAAAGAATAACTCAACTTCTCAGACAAAAAATATCACCTCAATATTCTGTTACTTTTAAGTTTGGAGTCTAGCAGGCTAAGTATAAGTAAGTGCGGAAGCAAGTGTAAATCCAAGTGTAGTATAGACTATTGGTTGATTAACGCATGCTGTATGTGACGGCGAATCGTTACTTCTTTAATACTGATTCTCTTGTCTTTCTGTTTCGTAACAGATATCCGGACTACTAACAAGTCCCAAAACGTATACTACCATATATCACTAATGTTTAAAAATATGACTATGGTCAATAAAATGAAAGAACAGTGATACAGCTAATAAACTAAATATCTTCTTTTTCCGCATTAAAGAATCTGTAAGAGAATAAACTAAATTAAGTTTACTCAACAGAGAACAAGATTAGTTGCGTCAGCCTAAAAACACCTTTGGAGACCGACTATCAAATCATCACAAATAAAAACACTTGAGTCCTTATAGCCTTCCTCAATCAAGTAAATCAATTTATTGTATTTTCTTACGGATTCCTTGATTCGGAAATAATTTTCATTAGAGAAGACAATATAGAGAAGACAATACAATTTATTATATTTTCTTACGGATTCCTTAATTCGGAAATAATTTTCATTAGAGAAGACAATATTTGGAAAAGTCGCGTGTGTCAGTTTTTCTAAGGCTATTTTTTGACCATCAGTGATATCTAACCTTATTTTGAACTTGTAGGGCTTAGATTTAAGCTCAGATTTAGTTGTATAAATATTTGGTTGTTTTCATTACGTTAAACTAACGTTCAAGCCTTTTGAATTTACTGAGAAAAACTTAATTTTTTAATATTAGAAAACATTTTAAAAAGTAATATTTTCAAATAAAGATTTTTCCATCTCCTTCTTTGATTGATAAAACTCGAGTTAGTTTCTATTGTGTATTTGTACTCAATACTGTTTGTGATCACTTGGTGATGCACTATGACAAGAGCTCAATTAAATTATGATAAGGAGTTATTCAGTTGATAGAGGCATAGTTAGAAGTTCAGCCTCTCTTTCTGTAGGAATATATATTGTTATATATATGTAATACATGTTGTTATAGACATTGCAATTTTAAATCAGTAAGATCAGTTAGCGTTTGATGTACTTTTACCACTCTTAACTCTCAAGTAAATTTTTCAGTGTATGGTTTATAAAATTGAAATTATTAATAAAGCGATTTATTTTAAGCTGTAAGTTAACATCAGTAATGATAGAAGTGACTATTGGAAAGTAATAGAATGTTTTGTTTTTGGTTAAGAGATTTCGAAAAGTAGTAGTACTAAACACTACAACAATAAAAATTCCTTTTTATATTATTTTAAAATCATGCAACAAATAATGCATCTCAAACAGAGTAATATTGAAATTTAACAATTAAAAATAATAATATAATTAATTAATTCAATTATTCTTACAGCTGATTTATGATTTCGATGTAATATAAACATAGCAATTGAATTTGTTAACAAAGTTTTCACAACTAATTAACAAAACTCCAGAAAAATCTGCGAACATAAAAGTCAAGTACGGCTTTGGATCTGTTGCTTAAGGTGCGCTGACTCTTAGCGTCAAATTTGGCAGGGCACGAATTCGATTTCTGGTATTTGCAGTTTCTAAAAATTATTTACGAATAATTAAATGCAAGAATTATTTCCAACACCACTGATGATGGGTATTTGGCAATACTCAAAACAGCTGTAAATAATTTATTGAGACTGCAACTCTTTGTCAATTCAAAAATTCAATTAATTAAAGTTATATAGAAAAAAAATTTTTTGCATTAATTTTTTCATGCCGAGAGTGAGAGTCACTGCTTTTAGAAATTTTAAGAAATTAGAATATTTCCTAAGATCACTGATGTTGAGTACGTGGCAATACTCGAAACAGCAAAGTATGGTCAGTCAAATTTCAATAAATTAAATAAATTTTTGTTCTTGTCTTCTTTGCTATTCGAATCCGTCAAACATTTTTTTGTTGTAATTCAAGTTTCGAAACCTCAAACAATATATAAAAATTGTTAATTTAATTAAGAATTTTATTACTTTGGTATATTTGATGATGGAATATTACATAAAGAAATTTTTTAATACCAATGCATACTTAGTACGTTTCTTGTTACCAAGGAAAACAACTGTTTGATCCTTCTGCCATGTAGTATACTCAAGTTACTACTCCAAAGTTTTAAAATTGAAACGTGCCTAAAATATTTTTATTCTGATTATTTAAGGAAAAGAAAATAAAATAGTTAAAAGAAAAAATATATTAGCTTGGGCTCAAGAGATTACAAAACAACTTTTACTGTAATTTTCTATTCGATGCTTTATTTTTTCGTTTTCTGGGTTCAGAGCATGCAACCATTTTTACCCACCATCCAAACATCCAAAATTCAGAAGTTGCAGAAATAAATAATAAAAAATTAAATTTACTTAACGTTGAACCAATTTACGGCATGGAAAACGAATGCGAATATTTAACATGAATTTTTCGTGTAAGTTTTTTTGCTTTTTTTTTTTTTGGCATGGAAAATATTTATAAATTTCCATTCGTGCTGAGCTGGTCAAAGAAAATCATAAAGTTACAAATAATTTAAATTTGCATGTCCCTGCAAGCCGAGGCGGCACACTTACAAAGGAATGTCGGAAAATGCTCTGCGAAATTTCACTTATGAAGCTATTCAGCTTCATTCAATTTGGCTTTTGCGGGAATGACTTCCAAAAATGAAATTTTTGCCTCAGCAAACCATGTTTGCGTTGCGTGTAAATGCAGATTTTGGCAGAAAGCTAACAGAAACTGTGGACCATGAAAAAGATCATTAATACGTGTTTAGAAACAATTTGCTGGTCGAACAAAAAATTTTTGCCTTGCAAATTTTGCCTTAGTTTATTACTATTCCTTTGAGCACGTTGGCCACTAAACACGTGCCTTTACCCTTATTATAGAGAATTCATTGGTGTAGGTACAAACTGACTCAGAACAACACGGACTTATTTTAAAGATGTTTTTGTATGCCTTAAAGAAGTTAAACTAAAGATTTTAAAATTTAAGAGTAATATTCTTGTTGTAAGACGAGAAAATTGCTAATCAGAACAAATAAATGGTGCATAAAAATATGACAGCCTGTACAAGGTAGTTGTTTCGTTCCAAAAAAGTTGGGTGATTGAGAACCATAAAGAAGATGCGAAACGTTGTGAATGAAAGGAGACACAGTTGTTGAGATAG